GGGGGGGGGGGGGGGGGGACCAGTAGGCAGTAGTCGACCGGTTTGGATGATTTTTTCGCTTGCTTTTTGTTGCAGAAGACGACTGCGATAACCGCTTCTGAGTCGTGAGCTCACTGGTTCAGGGGCGGTGCTATGTGATGTTATTGTGTGTTTGGCGATGTTGGAGCAGAGAAACATGCCGTGTTTTTTTGGTTTTGTTTCGCGATTCTCGAGCGCACTCCGTCCCGTGAGCTCAATTTTTGTTGGTATATGCACACGCAGCACTCCAAAATGAACACGAGTGCAATTTACCGTAAGGTTGCGGGTCAGCGCACCCCCGTGCGGTCGTTTCTTACACATTTTCGCCATTTCATTCTTATCGCACCCCTGTGCGATGACTCCGGACCGTGCGATGACTCCGCACCCTGTGCGGAAATTGAATTAAGTCATTTGGTTTCGATGCATGACGCACACCCCTGTGCGATTACTCCATTTTTTTTTTTTCTCCCATCATTGGACTCTGTCGTCTACCCCTCTGGCCCCTATCCTCCACTTCTACCAGCAAGACGACCCAACCGGGGTCACATAGGAGGGGGGGGTGGCCCCCCTCCTGCGGTTCCTGCCTGAAATATTTTTATCGCGAGAAGGGTACAGCAATCCCTTCCCTCGCGACATATGAAGTCGATCAAGTTTACTAACAACGAGCTTTGCAGCGCGTCGCTTCCAACGGAGACCAGGATTCAATAAGTCTAGTGACAAAAAACTCACTCTGTCGGGACTCGAACCCATGACCTGGCCCTTAGCAGGCTGCGAGTATGTGCAGTCCTGAGTAAATCCTGGAGGCGATACTATCAAGAACTTTCAACGCACACCCCTGTGCGATAACTCCGGTATGTGGGGTACGTGAAAGAAATAACTTTGCAAACGCACAGACACCTTAGTTGTGCTGCGGTTGCAGGCTCCACACGCAACGTACACACACACGCGCACGTCAGCCAACCACGGCAGTCAGCCCGATGGATGCTAGCTTTTCGAGAAAGCACACACACACCAGTAGTGGCAGGTTGGCTGCCCGAACACATGCTTTTGTGTGCATCCCAGCAGTACGGAGATTGGCGCTGTTTAGTGTTTCTGGTAGTGACGGGATTCAATTTGTTTCGTAGCGAAAGAAGTAGAAGTTAGGCACAAAAGTGCTGCTGTTCCATGGTGCTGTTCCACAGTACCTCCTGCTGTTCGTTGTTCTGGCTGATGGCTGCTGTTTTTTTTCTCGTGTGGTATGATCCAAGGGACAATGTTCAAGTTTACCGATCCAATGGAAATACCAATGTGTTTCATTTCCTTCATTCCTCCACGTGTGGTATGCGACGATGACCTACCTACCCATACAGCAGAGCTCCATGCCAGCATGACATGGTTGCAGGGGTGAAAGTTGCCCCGAAATCGCTGGCACAACCACTACCCTACCTGTAGGTTGCGAGTTATCGCACCCCCCTGTGCGGTAACTCCGGAGCCTGTGCGGAAATCGAATTGAATAATTATGCCATTTAATTTTCATCGCACCCCTGTGCGATGACTCCGGACCGTGCGGAAACTCCGGACCGTGCGCTGACCCCCAACCTTACGGTAGCAGACTTCGTAGACACATGCAGTTTTCTGCTGTTGCTACCGTTTCTGTCTTTCGTCCGGAGAATAGCTTAGCCTCCCCCATGTCGCCCTGTCACGGGTTCCCAGATAATGGCATTTGGAAGTGTTTTTTGTTTCAACCGCACTGAGACTGACGTCTTTTCATTGGTCAGCCGATTAGTGCGATCGATTCTAATAATAAATACATACACAAACACATCACGGGGTCCCAGCTCATGGCCTCCAGAATCGTTTTTGTTTATGGCCGCACTGAGGCTGACGTCTTTTCTTTGGTCAGCCAGCTAGCACGGTCGATGCTCATTCAAACGCGCGCGCACACACACACGGTAGCAAGCTGTCTTTTGTCCGAAGAGTAGCGTAGACTTCCCTATGACGATCGATCACAGGGTCCCAGATCACGGCCTTCAGGAGCGTTTTTCGTTTTTGGCTCCAGTGAGACTGACGTCTTTTCTTTGGTCAGCGGGCTAGCACGGGCGATGCTAGTTCAAACGCACACACGAACACACACTTGCGACATGACTCTTCAGGCGGAGAAGGGAATGACGGGCGGCAGCGACGGCAGAGTCAGCAGCCACGCGTACAACAGCTGCCTCATGCACCTGGCGAAGTGCTCCCGGTGGCGCGAAGCTCTGGCCGTCTTCGAGAGGATGTGGGCCCGCGGCGTCACTCCGAACTCCTTTTGCCTAAACGCCACCCTGGAAGCCTGCACGGCCGCGGGGGAGTGGAAGCAGTGCCTTGGTCTCCTCGAGCGAGCCAAAGGCGCAGGGCTGGAGGTGAACGAGATCAGCTACAACATCTGCATCGCCGCGTGCGGTTCCGGCAAGCAGTGGCAGAAGGCCCTCGGCCTGCTGCGAGAGCTAGAGGCGGCGGGGAGAGCGGGAGCGGTGGTGCCCGGCGGGAGGGTGCCGCTACGGCCGACGGTCGGCACGTACGGGGCCACGATGCGCGCCCTCGGGATGTCGGGGAAGTGGCGGGAGAGCATGGAGGTGTTTCGGGAGCTGCAGGGCCTGGCGGGTCAGGCCCCCGGCGAGGAGAGAGAAGGTGGGAGCGTTATCGCCGCCCCCGACGTCGTGACCTACACCACCCTCGTGGCCGCGTTGGGCGAGAACGGCCGCACGTCGGAGGCGAGGCAGGTCTGGCGGGAGATGGAGGAGGCGGGCGTGGAGCCGAACGCCATCACCTACCACGCCATGATCGCCGCGTACGGGAACGCGGCCGCCGCGAAAGCGGCGTCCTCTAGCGCCGCTGCTCGCGCCGCCGCTGCTAGTAGCGCCGTCGCTGCTCATAGCACCGCTGTTGCTATTGCCTCTGCTAGCAGCGCCTCCGCCGCCAGCGCTTCTACGTCTGCTAGCGCCACCGGGAGGCAGCGGCCGCTGGCGGCGGCTGCCGCGCCTAGCCCGCGGACGGCAGACTGGGTCGAGGCCCTAGCTCTCTTCGACCAGATGCCCCGAAAGGGCATCCGGCACACGCCCACCAGCTACAGCACCGCCATAACCGTGGCCGGCCAGTGCGGGCTCTGGGAAGAAGCGGTAGCTCTGCTTGACCGCATCAGGCGAGATCGGAGGGACGACGACGACGAGCGCGGTGCGCAGGGAGCAGCGGCGGCAGCGGCGGTGGGGCCGAGCGGCCAGCGCGTGGCCGCTAACAACTACGTCTACGCGGCCACGATTACCGCGTGCGGGAACAACGGGCAGTGGGAGCAGGCCTTGAGGTTGGTAGCAGGGGCTCCTGGATTACGTATGTTTAGGCCATTGTTCACCGCTGCTGCTGTTGCAGCCAATGCTTTACTTCTCCCGTCGCCCGGCCCACCGTCCAATCAAAGTTTTCAACATGTGACCAATCAACCCTCCGCAACCGATGCGCGAACATAGCTGATGTTTTGTTTTATAACCTATCGAACCTGCCCCCTCGGCCTCTACACCTGCAACAAGGTTGCTGCGGGAGATGTCCGAGGCGGGGGTCGAGGCCGACGCGCTAACCTACAGCGCCGCCATCTCCGTGCTCGCGAGGGAGGCCCGGCTCCCGGAGGCGTTCCGGCTGATCAGAGAGATGTCGGAGCGCGGCCTGGCGACGGTGAGTGGATCGGCATACGACAGCATCGTCGGGGTGTACGGGAAGACCCCCGAGGCGGCCGCGGAGCTCGTGGCCCTTGTGAGGGGCATGGACGTGCCCGACTTCTTCGCGTACAGCGCCGCGATCGCCGTGTGCGCGGCCGTCGCGGGGGTTGTGCCGGCCACTCCCTCAGCGGCGGCGACGGCTCAAGCTTTGAAAGACAGCAACGCGACAAGCGTCGATAGCAACGAGGCGCCAAGCTCGCTGTCGGCGACGGCGGCGGCGGACCACCCTTCGACAAACAGCGCAAGAGCTATCGTCCCAAACGATGGCATCGATGCGCCGCGCTTGCTCCAGGAGATGTCGGCGGCGGGTCTCCGACCGGACGAGGCGTGCTTCACCAACGCTCTGTCGGCGTGCCGGGATCGCAGGCAGGGGAAGCAGGCCCTCGCCATCCTCAGAGATATGGAGGCAGCCGGCGTGACTCCCGACGGGGTCGTGTATACCCTGGTGAGCGTGTGTTCCCGGCTGCCGGGCCCCCTCTTTTCTTCCTTGGTTCGACGCCTCCCCCCCCCCCCGTACTGGGGCATAGGAAGTGGGTTGAAAAGGCTGGAAGTGATATCGGTAGGATAGATAGACTAGGTAAGACATGATTGAGCCGCCTATGGCAAGGTAGGAAGGAACGATTGGCTATCGGTGGTAGGTCACGGGGGAACAATGCGCCGTCGTCTCGAGGACGCGTCGTCCATGGTCTAACCGCTCAGGCATGCAAAACGTAAGAGTGCGCTCCCCCTATGCTCCGTCCTTTCCAGGACGCGTGGGCAATGTTCTTCTGCAACAAAGGCATGCAGAACATTGGTACCGTAATAGTCGGGGAGTCGGCACCGGGTGCGATCGTTTTTTTGCATGTTTTTTTCTCGGGTTTTTAATCGAACCCCGGTGCCATCTCTCCGACCCCGGTGCGGAAATGCAATTTAATCACTTATTTTAGTTTTTCCAAGGCACCCCGGTGCGATCTCTCCGACCGGTGCCATCCTAGATGAAATTCACACAGTTCTTGCATGCACGCACGCACCCCGGTGCCATCTCCCCTACCGGTACGATAGTATTGATACCAGTGTAGGCACTCACACGTACGGTCTTCTTCACACGCTAATTGGTCGTGCCATTGATCAGTATAGAACCACACGTACGTGTAGGTACCCTTGTTGCTGATTGGAAGCACACCGGTATCGGCAACGTAGGCTGGTACGTAACATTTACTTTCCATGCAGCGAGTGGTCTTGTGTTTGATGCGAGTTTGGCTATGGCGTGACAACAAACGATGTCATTTCCATCTGAGGTGGTACCAGAACACACGGTATCAATTGTCTCACGCCTTCGTTTCGGTCTTCTTCTACGGATACAGTAGAGGTCCCTGTTTAGTGCCGGGGTGTGCGCAAAAACTTGACCGGCACTATACCGGGCACCGGCATTTTTCTTCAGAGTGCCTGAATAGTGCCAAAGGGGCACTATTCAGGGTCTGAAAATCCCTCAATAGTGCCAGACCGGCACCATTGACGAACTGTGTGATTTCAGAGTGCAGCGCTTTGCTTGGCGGGGCCAACAGAGTACCACATGAAACGTACATGGTGAGATCATGGCATGGGCGTCGCGGGCAGACTGCTGTGCCACGATAGGGGTGGTTCCTGCCCTGTCGAACACACATATTTTGCTTAATAAGTTAACTGGACGGGACACACATGCTGTACCTTGTTGCTGTACCCACCTCAGCGCACGCACACCTGCACAACCTGACTTAAATCCCTTCACATGAAAATCGCGGATGCACCTCATAGATGTCCAATATTTTGTTGGCACCTTCCGCACATGGCATGGTGCGCATCTGCGTAGAGCTGTTCGGGTCTGTAGCAGCACGTGTACCCTTTCCTCTGTGTCTGTCTTCTGTGTTGTGTGAGTCTCTTGTGTGTTGTGTGTGCGTGCGTGCTTGAACCGGCGCTATTGTGGGGTTCAGTGGGGCCCGAACCGGCACTATAGTGGGCAGCCCTGAATAGTGCCGGTTCCGGCACTATTCAGGGCGGGTTCTGTGCGCCGAGATTTGACCGGCACTATACCGGCAACCGGCACTATTCAACCGGCACTAAACAGGGACCTCCTCTGTACCAGTACGTACACAGCAGTACAATAGTTTCGGGTTGTGTAAGGTGGGGTAGGGTGCGAGTTGTACGTTGTGTGTTTGGTTGAGTGTACGGTTGGTAACGTCTTTTATAATGAAGCAACTGGCATCCCGCGTGAACCACAACCATCCAATCGTACACATGGGAGTGGCGCTCCGCTGACACCCTCCCCACGTGTAAAAGGTACGCACATATACCTCACTCCGGCAGCTGAAAAGGAGCTCAATCTTGGATTTGGGGGTCGGAGAGATCGCACCCGGTGCGATCTCTCGGACCGGTGCCATCTCTCGGACCGGTGCCATCTCTCCGGCCGGTGCCAACTCATCGACTATTACGGTACATCCCCCTCTCCCGTGTTATGAAAGAGTGTCACCCCCCCCCCCCCCCCCCCCCCCCCCCCCCCCCCCCCC